ATATACCTAAGACTTAACTTAATTGATTCTGATTTTTTTTCTCTATAATTACATTCTTTGATCAACTTTTGCAAAATTTACAACAAACAAGAATAGGCTCAAAGAAGCATGAATACCAAAAAAAATAAAATGCGATCGGAAAAAATTTCTATATTGGGAATAAAAGATGAAACATCTTAACTGACTCCATAAAGTTTTGATTCTAAATTACTCCCTAAAAAGATGCTTATCTCAAGTGAATATTAGCTCATAACAACGGGTAACATTGAAGATGTGCGATTGGTTTTATTAGAACAAATTCATGTTGATGTTCAATGGATTCCTAGAGAAGCAAATAAGGTTACACATACTTTAGCAAACTACGCTAAATCTACCAATCTAACTGAATCTTTTTGGGATTCCCCCCTGACTTTGTCAAATAAATTGTGTTGTATGATTTCCGGCTAACTCATTAATAACTTGCTTGGATAGGAAGATTTGCAAAAAAAAATTCAAATTTTTTTTACTTACATCATAAACATAATTTTCAACTACTTTTTTATCTCACATATATTACATCACAAAAAGTATTATAGTAATTATTTCGAATAAATATTTCAAATAACCTCCTATCCAAACAAACTCATTGGTTTTGCGTTTTCTATATACATATACAGACATATATATATATATATATATATATATAATGAAAACAATGGGTATTACTCCTCAATCTTTCCCACATATATATTCCGTGTAGATGTGGGACTTTATGAAATTATTGAAATTGTTATGGCCAAGCTGAATTCCTGATTTGAACCTAAGATGCTATCATATCCTTTCCAATGAAGGAAAAAAATCCAGAAAATGACAATAGCTGGCCTATGAATTAATGAAAAGAACACTTATGAAATTAATTAATCTCCACCAAAATTAATGACGTGAAATCTAAATTAATTTTTGTAAAGAATTCAATCCTGTGTTTGTGTAATGAGAAAACAACAATAGCTGGCTTATTCATTTGTTGTACGGATATTCTTGAGTAGTACTTGTTGCTTGAGTGGCCATAAGTCAATGTTATTAACAAAATCCCAATGAGTCTTTTGACTGAACAAGAAAAGAAATTAAATCCCACTACAAAGCCGTACCTACCTCGGTAAAGCTGATCTATGTTGAGTGGCCCAAGTAGGGATGGACAAGCTGCCAATGACAATGACCAAGTCACCAGCAAATGAAAGATACACCATCAATTAATGCCGGACTTGATTGATTCTCCAGTTAATTTCACGGACAAAAAAATCTTGTCATTTCTTTGAATACTCAAGTAGAAATTTTGTAAGCATGTGTCTTGGCATATCGAAGAGATGGTTTCTGTTCGTTATCAGTAGAGTTATAATTACGTTCATCTTAAAGGTCATGTAGCTGGTCAAGTGTCATTGACTGACAAATCGGGATTAAATGTCTCAATATAGACTCAAAAAAAAAAAAAAAATTTTGTCCAAATAACTCAAAATTGGTTCAGCTAATATTGTCCTTTTTTTTTCCAAACAGCTAATATTGTCCTTCAGTTCGAGAAATTGATGAGAATTAAGACTCAGGCACTTTATTTTCAAGTTTGGCTGCAGGTTCGAGAACCCTGCCTCATGTTACAACATTAATATATCATAGTTGTGTCATCAAACAGAACAATTCATTATTGAATTTCATCAGGCAATTGTTAAAACATTTAAATCATACCTAAGTTATTATGTAAATGCATACACTCATATTTATTATTCCTCTGAATTATGATACTTTTCAATTGTCAGGGAAAGCTTCTTTAAAACTCTCCTATGCACTAAGTCAAAAGTTCAAATCCCGTCTAGGACATCACATAAGAAGTATAGTGATTTTTGATGAGCGCGGGGTATGCATGTAACAATTAACTTATCCACAGTTAAGTTTTACATTCATAAAATTCTAAATACCCTACACGCGATTTTGAACAAGTATACAAGTCGTTTATTTAGCACAGACGTATTAAGTGTCGATCCCACAAGAAAGAGTGTCATTTACCGATGTTTTTCGAACTGCTTTATTATTTAGACTATCACAAGTACTAGATATTAAATCTACACTATAAACATGAGATAAAAATAATAAAAATAACAATAGGAAGTTTCTAGAGATATGAAATTTCTTAATACTCTTGCAAATGACATTATCGGTTAAGTGAATGTCATTTTCTTGACTAGTTATGGTGTAATTTTCTAATATACGTGATATCCGCTTTCGCCGATGTGCCAACTATACCAATAGTTAATTCATACTTACTTTCGTGGTTATGAAACTAACTACAAGTTCATTCTTTCTATGAAATTACATAAAACAAGTTACTAAAACTACAAAGGTGCATCTTTACTTTCGTGAGTGTATTCCCTAGATTTATCACTTCCTTAAACTAGTGTTAAATTTCAATTTATTACAAACTTAACACCTTAAGATTGATAAGAGAATATTTAACGTATATTTTGTACAAGTTTGGCATAAACTTTTGGTATTTTTGAGAAGATTAAAGCCATATTTGAACTCTTTTGGTGATAATTGCTTAAATATTGTTTAAGTGTTCAAACCTTGATAAATGAGTGGATTAATGCGTTAATTTTGTGAAATTAAGAAGGATATCGATGTATGAAATTCATGCACAAGCTGAAAGAAGTGTCAGGATTGTCCAGAGGATAAAGTACACAAGAAATTAGGACCAAAAAAAAATTAAGAGAAAGGAGAAGAAGTGAAAAACTGGAAAAACACCAGCACGGATCCAAGCTCGGATCCGTGTGAGTAAAGGGGCGATCCGAGCCCTCGTCTGTACTTCTGGAGCAGTGTATCCGAGTACAAACGATCCGAACTCAGATCCATAAGAGAAAGGGCTCGCAACACAAAGATCCGAGATCAGATACATTTTCACCCTCGGATCCGAGGTTCGGATCTGTCTCTCTCTTCAGCAAGTGGCACAGTTGTTTTTCTTTACCTTTCTCACAACTTTTTCAGCTATTTTGAGAGACAGAAATCAGTGGCACATGCTTCTGTAACAAAAGAGAAGACCAAATGAGTTGTAGACAAAAGGAAACATCATATCTTTGAATTCTTTTTACAAAATCTGAGTGGAGGAATTATGAAATGAGAGGAGTAGACTTTCTACCACTTTTTATGCAGAGACACAAGGAAGAAGCAAAGAGGATACGTAGCTAGTTTTCCTTCTTGTAACAACTTTCTCTCTAGCTAAAGGTTCTTGAAGAAGCATTTGGAGTTTTCACTTGTAATCATCTTGTACAAGAACATAGCAGAATTTGAGGGCTTCACCATCAATTGGCTAAGCTTTCTTTTATCTTTCTTGTACTTGTACTTCAGGATGTTTTGCATTAATAAACTTGTGAATTTGATTATTAAATCATTCATGAGTAGCTAAACTCCTTAATCTAGGGAGTAGATGAAACTTATGGCTAAATAATACTAATTGAATATGATTTACACTTGTTATATATTGTATTAACTTGTCTACTTGTGTAGCTGTGATTACTTGTTATTGATTGATCACCAATAGCATGTTTATAGTTGTTATTATTCAATGAGAATTGGTAGTAACAATGGAAACACATGAGTAGAGCTTAAATTGTATGTTCATGAAAATAGAGATACACTTAAGTGGATTACTTAGCATTTCATGAAAGAAAACAGAGTAGTAGTAGTGTTTCACCATGAAAATAGGGAAAACTGAACTACTCTAGGCCATTTCATCATGAGAATGAGACTTGGTAAATTTGGAAATGAATCTCTAGTTAAACAAGAATAATAACAAGAGGTAAATTCATTCATCTGTGTTGTTTATGCCATAAGAAGAATCTACATCCCTAGATTCAATCTTTAGTGAAATTTCTCCATTTGTTTTTAACATTGATTAAACCAGATTTGTAGACAATAGCATTATAATTTTCTTACTCAGATTTATTGTAAGTCTAAATAATAGAGAGAAATAAGGGTCTAGTACTTGTTTAAATTGCTCCTCGTGGGATCGACCCGATACATACACTATATTACAGTTTCGATCTCTATACTTTCAGCTAACGGGTATAAAAATCGGATTTAAATTTGCATTGATATAAAAATCCCGTCAAGTTTTTAGCGCAGTTGCCGAGGAGCAGCAATATTAGAGCCTAATCATCTTTATTAATTTAGACAGCTTTATTTTTATTAGTTGAGCTGATTATATTTAATCCTACATTGTAATCAAATTTTGACAATTAAAGTTGCATAATATCTCTTATTTCTATTTGTAGTGTATGCACCGGGTGTCTCGAGAAGTTGCACTTTTCGATCCAGAAATTGAGAGGACACTACATAGACAAAAAAGAAGTACACCACAGCAAGAGGAACAAGAGATTTGGTAACCAATAGAGGAAATCTTAATAGAGCTTCCATTTGAAGAAGAAATGGCAGCAAATGAAACAAATAGGTGAGTTCTACGAGATTTTGCTCTACCGGAAACACAAGGATCTCAAACGAGCATAGCAAGGCCTTCGGTAAATGCTAATAATTTTGAGATTAAACCATCACTTATCCAAATGGTTCAACAATCTCAATTTGGAGGTAATGCAGTAGAAGATCCTAATTCACACTTAGCTACATTTTTGGAAATTTGTGATGCAATTAAAATGAATGGAGTTAGTGATGATGCTATAAGGCTAAGATTGTTCTTATTTTCATTGAGAGATAAGACCAAACTTTGGCTACACTCTCATGCTCCTAATACTTTCACCGGATGGGATGATTTATCAAGAGCATTCTTGAATAAGTATTTTCCACCAGGTAAGACAGCTAAACTAAGAATGGATATCACTAGTTTTAGACAATTGGAAGGTGAATCATTATATGAGGCATGGGAAAGGTTTAGAGATTTGCTTCGAAAATGTCCACATCATGGACTGCCGGAGTGGTTAATCATACAAACCTTCTATAATGGTTTAGTTTTTTCTACTAAAACTATGATCGATGCAACTGCAGGTGGAGCTTTAATGGGTAAATCACCCAAAGAAGCTCAGAATTTGATAGAAGAAATGGCAGCAAATAACTACCAATGGACCAATGAGAGAGGTAATACAAGACGTCACGCAGGTATGATAGAAATGGACACTCTCAATATGCTGAGTGCTCAAATGAATAATGTGATGAAATTGTTAAGTAGATAAGGTGGAGTTGGTCCAAGTTCATTTAATGCACATGTAGCGTGTTGTTCTATATGTGGAGGTGAATATGATACTAATGAGTGTGTTGATTCTGAGTAGGTACAATTCGTCAACAATTACAATCGTAATGCTCAAAATAACCCCTACTCAAATACTTACAATCCGGGGTGGATAAATGATCTAAACTTTGGATGGAAGAACCAAGGAAATCAACCAAGGCCAGCCAATCCACCGGGATTTCAATCAAAGCAACAACAAGCTGAAACTAAACCTGGTTGGGAGTTGGCAGTGGAAAAACTTGCAAAAGTTACTTCGGACAGATTTGAGCAAGTAGAAGGAAGATTGGACCAATTCACTACAATGTACAGGAATGTAGAGGTCCAAATTGGTTAAATTGCTAGTTCTTTGAATAATCGAAATCAAGGAGAATTACCTAGCAAAACGGAGGTAAATCCTAAGGAGCATGTCAAAGCAATTACTCTTCGTAGTGGTAAGCAATTAGAAGATCCTCCAGTGGTGGAAGTTGAGAATGATGAGAATGAAAAACAAGAAGAAAAGCAGAGGAACCAAGAGGCGATAGTGGAAGAAAATAGCCGGGAGAAACCAAGAGAAAATCAACCATCATCTTCCGCTACCATTCCAATACCTCCTGCGGTTCCATTTCCACAAAGATTAAAGCAGAATAAGTTTGATAGAGATTTTGAAAAATTTATTAAACTTTTCAAATAATTGCACATTAACATTCTTTTTGCCGATGCTATTTTGCAGATTCCATCTTATGCAAAGTTTCTCAAGGAAATCATGACCAGAAAAAAGAAGTTGGAAGACTGCGAAACAATAGCATTAACGGAGAAGTGTAGTGCAATTATACAAAATAAGTTACCACCGAAATTGAAGGATCCAGGAAGTTTCTCTATACCTTGTACCATAGGTAACATTGATTTTTCTAAAGCATTGTGTGATCTTGGTGCTAGTGTATCATTGATTCCTCTAACAGAGGCAAGACAATGGGGTTTGAATGAGGTTAAACGCACTAATATTACTTTGCAACTAGTGGACAGGTCTATTAGATATCCATTGGGAGTGTTGGAGAATGTATTAATAAAAGTTCAAAAATTTATCATTCCAGTGGATTTTGTGGTGTTAGATATGGAAGAAGATGTATATATGCCAATTATTCTTGATAGACCATTTTTAGCTACTGCATGTACTATTATTGATGTTAAAAATGGCAAACTGAAGTTTCAAGCAGGTGAAGAAGAGGTAGAGTTTAATTTGCATGAAATGGAAAAATACCCTTCTTTTACAGATCATGTATATTCTATTGGCACAATTGATAAACTAACTCAAGAAATGAGCCAAGTCAATTTTGACTTTGATCCTCTTGAATATTGTTTAATGAGTTTAGGTAAACAAGAAGGTGATTGGGGAGAGATTGAAGAATTGGCCAAGTATTTGAATTTTCAAGTACCTTATAAAAGGGGTAATTTGTATGAAAGTCTTGGCCAAGAAAAGGGGCTCCCACCACCTTCAGAAATTGAACCTCCAAAACTAGAGCTCAAACGACTTCCAACTCATCTAAGGTATGAATTTCTTGGAGAAAATAGTACTTTACCTGTAATTGTTAGTGCTGACCTTGATGATGAGCAGTGTACAAAGTTGCTAAGAGTTCTAAGGAAGCATAATAAGGCAATGGGATGAACAATTGCAGACATTAAAGGTATAAGTCCTTCTATATGCATGCATCGTATTTTATTGGAGGACAATTGCAAACCAGTGGTGGAAACACAAAGAAGACTCAATCCAAACATAAAAGAGGTGGTAAGAAATGAAATTCTTAAGTGGCTTGATGCAGATATAGTCTTTCCTATCTCCGATAGTGTTTGAATTAGTCCAATTCATGTGGTACCAAAGAAAGGTGGAATAACTACAATCGTGGGTAAAAATGGTGAATTGATTCCATCTAGACTTGAGGTAGGGTGGAGAGTGTGTATTGATTATTGTAAGTTAAATACGGTAACAAAAAAAGATCATTTTCCCCTACCATTTCTTGATCAATTATTGGAGCGAATAGCCGGATATGAATTTTACTGTTTTCTTGATGGTTTTTCAGGATATAATCAAATAGCTATAGCTCCAGAGGATCAAGAGAAGACCACATTTACATGTTCTTATGGCACTTTTGCCTTTAGAATGATGCCATTTGGTTTATGCAATGCACCTGCGACTTTTCAACATTGTATAATGGCTATATTTTCAGATTATATTGAGAAAATTATGGAGATATTTATGCATGATTTTTCTGTGTATGGTTCATATTTTGACCATTGTCTTCATAATTTGGAATTGATTTTGCAGAGATGCGAGGAAACAAATCTTGTACTGAATTGGGAGAAATGCCATTTTATGGTAAAAGAAGGAATTGTCTTAGGACACAAGATTTCCTCCATGGGAATTGAGGTGGATAAAGCCAAAATAGAAGTTATCGAAAAATTGCCATCCCCGAGCAATGTCAAGGGGATAAGGAGTTTTTTAGGATATGCTGGCTTTTATAGGCGTTTTATTAAAGATTTTTCTAAAATAGTAATGCGATTATGTGATTTATTATGTAAAGATACCCCTTTTCAATTTGATGACAATTGTTTGGTTGCATTTGAAAGGTTGAAGAAGGAATTGATTTCGATCCCAATCATAACTTCGCCCGATTGGTCACTACCATTTGAATTGATGTGTGATGCAAGTGATTATGTGGTGGGAGCAGTTTTGGGACAAAAGAAAGAAGGACGATTGCACGTCATTTACTATGCTAGCAAGTTGCAAAATCAGGCACAACTCAATTATGCAACGACAAAAAAAGAGCTATAGGCAGTGATATTTGCTTTGGATAAATTTAGATCTTATTTAGTAGGATCTAAAGTTATTATATATACGGACCATGTGGCTCTTAAATATTTGTTACATAAGAAAGATGCAAAACCTAGACTAATTCGGTGGATTCTTTTATTGCAGGAATTTGATGTGGAGATAAAAGATAAAAAGGGAACGGAGAATCTAGAAGCGGATCATCTATCACGCTTAGAATATATTCCAGTCAAGGATCAAGTTCCTATTCAAGAGAATTTTCCGGATGAGTTTGTCCTAACAATTATCAATTCTCCATGGTATGGAGATATTGCTAATTATTTGGTAAGTGGAGAGATTCCGAGAGGATTTAATTATCATCAAAAGAAGAAATTCTTACATGATGTCAAAAGTTACTTTTGGGAGGAACCATTGCTATATAAACATTGTGCCGATGGTATGGTATGTAGATGTATTCCCGAGAATGAGGTACATAATATTTTATATCATTGTCATAACCTTGAAACAGGTAGTCATTTTAGCACTTCAAAGACTATGGCAAAGGTATGGCAATCAGGGTTTTATTGGCCAACTATATATGTACCGAGATGTTCGGCAATATGTTAAAAGTTGTGATGCATGCCAAAGAACTGGAAATATATCTCGCAAGAATGAAATGCCCCTAACTACCTTCTTAAAAGTTGAGTTATTTGATATATGGGGTATAGATTTTATGGGACTATTTTCAAGTTCTTTTAATAATAAGTACATCTTAGTAGCAGTGGATTATGTTTCTAAATGGGTAGAAGCAATTGTTTCACCTACTAATGACTCTAAGGTTGTAATCCGGTTCCTTAAAAAGAATATTTTTTGCAGGTTTGGTATACCAAAGGCCATAGTAAGTGCTGAAGGGAAACATTTTTGTAACAAACAATTGGATTCCTTATTGTTTAAATATGGCTGTAGGCATAAGACATCACTCCCGTACCATCCTCAAGCCAACGGACAAGCGGAGCTAGCTAATCGTGAGATAAAGCTCATTTTGGAGAAAACTGTGAATAAATCACGCAAGGATTGGGCTACAAAGCTAGATGATATACTATGGGCTTACCAAACGGCATTTAAGACTCCCTTAGGAATGTCGCCGTATCGTTTAGTCTATGGAAAAGCTTGTCACTTACCTGTAGAGATTGAACATAAAGCCTATTGGGCCATTAAAGCTATTAATTTTGATTTTAAATCTGCAGGTGAAAAGAAAATGCTCGAGCTAAGCGAGTTGGAGGAATCGAGGTTGACCTCGTATGAGAATGCCAAAATTTACAAAAAAAAAGTGAAATTTTGGCATGGCAAACATATTCTTCCTAAGCATTTTGAAGAAGGGCAAAACGTGTTATTGTTTAACTCAAGACTTAAATTATTTCCTGGAAGCTTAAGTCTCGATGGTTTGGACCATTTGAAGTGGTTAGCATGTTTCCTTATGGAGCAGTGGAAATAAAAGGAGAAAATGGTTCCCCATTCAAAGTAAATGGTCAAAGATTGAAACCCTATTTGACTGGAGAAAAGGTTCCTAAAGGAGTAATTTACTCCTTAGGAAACACAATGGAGAGTTAAAAGAGCTGTAGGAGAGTCGAGCCAACGATTATAAACAAAAGCGCTTGTTGGGAAGCAACCCAATAATAATATTGTATTTGTGTGTTTTTATGTGTTTCTTATATTTTGATGTGATTTAATTGACTAATTAGATGTATTTCACTTGTTTGTAGGAGGTACCGGAGTTTCATCATCATTTTGGAGGTACAATTGAAGAACAAGTGTAAAAAGAGAGGTTTTCTTATCAAATTGTGCTTTAAGTGTTTAGAATCCCCAAGCATACATACAATGTTCCATTTTTAGTATATTCAATTGAGTTTTGGCGATAACATGGTTATAAATGCTCATGGACTCATTTGATGTGCATTTAATGCCCAAAAGTGCCATTTTGGTGTAAAAATGCAAAAATGATCAAAGAACCTCACCCCTCGATTTGCAATATAGATGTGTTTGATGTATTTTGAAAGATTGGATATTGTGTTTATGGTATATTACATGTGCATGGGAGGTTGGAATTGATAAAAAGTTTGTCCAAAGTGTGTTTTGGAATTGGCTGGAAAAGGGAGAAAAAGTTTGAAAAAATTACAGATTCTGCAATTAGTATAGAGAAAGACAGATTCGAGCTCGGATCCATCTCAACCCAGAAGGATCCGACCACGGATCCATAAGATACGAGCTCAGATCCATCTCAACCCAGATGGATCCGAGGGATCGTCTGTGTTTCTGGTGAGATAGATCCAAGCCTTGTCGGATTCGAGGACTTCCAGAACCGATCCGAGCTCGGATTGGTTCGCGATATGTATGAAACCGAGGGCTCGGTTCCTCATTTTCCAGATTTCCTTTTCCCTCTTCTCACCGAAACCCTAATCCCTTCCTCCAATCTTCCATTTCATCCATAAAACTTCCAATTTTTCACAATAAAAACCTTCCCGAACCTCTTGTGAGTATTAACCCTCAACAATTTCGAATCAAAAACATCAATTTTGAGGATTTTGATCGTCAAAACAATTTCGGGCCGCACCTATTTTTTTTTCAAATTTGAGGTTGAATTTGGGCTTGTTTCTCTTCCATTTTTGCATCATTATCACCTTCCATCATCACTCTACACATTTGAGGTAACTATTTTCAACTTTTTTTGAAATTTTACATTTCTCAATTCTTCAATTTTTGTATTTTTCGATAAATTTGGGAAATGCATATATGTTGGATTTTAATGCTATAATTTTGCTACATTGTGCTAGTATATGTCATTAGAAATGCTTGTTTGCTTAGAATTGAGAAATTTGTTAATATGGCGAAAAATTTTGTATAATTTTTCTCATGAAAGCGCATTCTACTTTTGTTTGCAATTTCCTGTTTCTTTGTACATGTGGCATTTGATTGTTTGAAATGAAATTCATTTTATGTAGAGTGATGATAAATTGTAGTAAGTATAGTGGATTGTTATGCATTGCTTTGAGGGAAATAGACAAAAGCTGAGAATTGTTTGAATTGAGGATGTTTTTCGTAATGCATGAGGAGATGTTGTGTTCAATTGATGATTAAGGCTTAACTTAATAGCACATTGTCTTTGATAGTCCATTTTACTTTCAGATAATATTCTATGCTTGTAATTGGTTTTAAATCTCACACATTTGGATTTATCATGTGAGAGTTAATTTCATTATTGAAAATATATCTTCTCAATGTTAAAAGTGGATTTGAGAATGTGTTAAGCAGAGTATTTGCTTTAATTTGTTGATTGTTGGCAGGGAGTTTCGTCCTTTTACAAGGGGAAACTCTGCCGAAATTTTTTTCAAATTACTTTCCAACAATTTTTGAAATGTATTTTCAAGGAACTTAGATTGCTTTTAATGTGCATTGATCTTGTTCTTGATATAGACACCATGGTTCGCACAAGAAGGGCTATTATTCGTACTCCTTTCCCCTCTTCAAGCGAGAAACGCACTCCCTCACCTGAGGAGTCACCAGTGGAGGAATCCCCTTCACCTGAGTCGCCTCCACGCTCACAGCGTAAGATAGCATCCACTAGCCGTGACGAGCCACTTCCTGACTACGATACCACTCGTTTCACCTTGCTCGAGAATCAACAGTGGTACGAGGCCGATTTGGACAAAGAAATCATTATTGAAAAATATTTGGCACCGGAGGTGGATGACCACTACAAGGTCTCCACGGCATTCAAACGACTTGGATGGGAAACTATCCTTAATTTGCCAAAACATTACTACCCCAATCTGGTCCAGGAGTTCTACGCCAATTTAGAAAAC